AGTGTGAGACCCTCAACTCTTGTGGAAAAAAAAACAATGACAGTTGATTTATGACTCTACCCAGCATCAGGATCACTTAGCAAGGATACAGGTATTCATTGATGATGCATAAGTGTTGACAGTGCAGGCAGTGGGTTACAACTCTTCACCACTGCCACCCCTGCTGCTGCCAGGTGCTGACTCTGACCAGGTGCAGCCCCGCACCCTGTGGCCAGCGCAGAAATTGCACTGCTGCTGCCGGCCACGCCGCTGCTGGGCCTTTTTTTCTGGCTGGGCTGCAGCCCTGCACCCCACCATCAGCACAGAAGTCTGGGTTGGCATGTGCCCACCCATGCCCTCTCCCCATGCATTGCCAATGCAGGTATCCATGTTAGGTCTTCACTCTAATGCCTTCACCTCTAAGCAATAAGGCTGATGTTTACTATGAACACATCTATAAAAATTAAATTAGTTGTCATAGCATTATTCCTGTTCGACAAGGGAATGGAAGAGATGAACTTATTTGTTCAAATAAATGGATAAACATATAGAAATTGTTTACATCTGTCCACATAAGAGAATCTCATGCTAGTAAACAAAATTAAATATCAAAAGGCTTAAGTTTTTGTCTCTAATATTATTTAATATTAATTAAACAGAAAATTCCATATTTAAGAATTTTTTCCACATTTTTTCTTTACAGTTTAAGTTATCAAAGAAACACAATGGAAATGATTATTGCTCTTACCTAGTCCTGTTTCTTTCATTACAGCATTTACACTCAGAGTATGACACCGTTTTGAAGAAAGTATCTCTTTGTTTTCTGATAGACGTAATAGTTTCTCTTTCAAAAGAAAAGGCGCTTTGGAAGTTGAAGCCCCCATTGTTTGACTTTCAACATGATTTACTTTTGACCAAGGACCGAGATCTAAAAACTTTAAGTCTACTGGAGTTTTCTCAGTTTTTTTATCTGAAGTTGAAAGATCAAAGGATGACCTTCCACTTCTGTTTTCTAAATCTCCAGATGTCCTTATGGGTAAAGAACATGATTCTTCCAGGTGACCTTCAGCAAATTTTGCTCCTGCAACTGTATTATTTAGTGACTCTTTTTCCTCTTTTAACAATGTATTCTTCACAGCATTATTATCATTAATCATAGAAGATTGTCTTCCTTTAATGTTTGAAATCTGGGTACCATTTAATTGATCTTTTTCACAGGAAATGTGTTTAACTGTGGTAATTTTGTTTGTGAAATTTTGTTTATGTACAATTTCAAAATCATCACTCTGGGCTGACCAATTTTTTTCAGTGTTTAAAGGCAAAATCACATCTGTACAAACATGTTTATTTATAGCATTTCCTGTTTGTTCAGTAGTGTCTTGCTCAGGTTGGTCACTTTGTGTATCATTCAGTTTTGTCAATGTATCTGGTTTTTCAGTACCTACATTTACATTCTCTATCATAGATATATTATTAGTATTCTTTTCGTTTGTGTTGCCAGAATCTGCACTTGCATTATCACAAAAAAAGGTAGGTTGAACTGGAGCATCAATTATTGTATCACAAGTACTGCTTAACATACAATTTTCATTAGTTTTGCTTGCATTTTCATCATTACATCTCTCTTGAACATTTTTACGAGTCTGTTTAAATGAAGGTGTGTCTGAGGAAATGCCACTGGTGCATCGATTTAACAGTTGTATCTGTTCTGTTTTGCATTGTTTGTCATCTAAATACTTGCCATTGTCCTGTAAACTACATTTCGGAAGTGTTGTCTGATTATTTTCTGTAGCTTGAGACAGGATGGCAAAATTAAATTCTGTTTTAGCTCGTGAAGTGCTTGTGGTACGCTCAGTTGCAGACTCTTTTTCAGTGCCTAGAGCAAAGCTGCACTCTTTGTTAGGTATATCCTTTATAAAGACATCTTTTTCATACTGTGTGGGTGTGATATCTGCCTTATCATTTGTGTTACAAACTAATTCATTTGTAGTACTGCCAGCTGTATGCTTGCTGGAGCCTGTCTGCTGACCAGCATCCTCATTGAAGACACCTGATGCTTCACTATTGTCTAGGAGCATTTTTCTTATTTCAACTGGGAGCTTTGTCGGTGAGCAGGGGCTGTCCTGGGCTTTTACTTTTGCATTTACAATGCTTTTCTCCAAGTACATTTTTTCTTTCGCAACCTCTTTGCACCCAGCAACACATATTTCCCAGGTGTATCCTTGATTACTTAAATTAACATCTGTGCAAAAGGTTTTGCTTGGAGAAGAAACCTCTCTTTGTTTTTTTTCACAAGGGCTAATAGGCTTATCTTCAATCATACAACAGTTTTCAAGAACTTGTAAATCTAAAAATATGAGAGTGTGCTATAATTAGACAAAAAGCTAATGGCTAAATAATGCATTATTTTTAAAGTAATAGGCAAAATGCAATCCATACATAGTTGCATACATAGGACATAGTTGCATTTTAGTTTTTATTTTTCTCATGTGAAATAGAGTTGTAATTTTCTCTAACTATCAGAAAGTTCTGAGGGGTCAATATTGTATTAGGAAAATTTACCAAATGTTATGCTTTTTAAACTGAGAACTGTATGCTAACATTGTTTTCCAGTTTCAAAACAAATAGATAGTTATAAATAAATTTAGGCAGGAAACTAGAAGAAGCTTACCATCTAGAAGAGAAGCTCTGGAACAGTTTTCCCAGTTGGAGTACTAGGGGCACAAAAGACTCTATCTACTTTTAAGACAAATACCTCTAAGTTTACGAAAGGGTTAACATGATGACACACCTGCAAAAGCAGGGCACTGCCTTGAGGACCTAGGAGGTTCCTCACTGTCCTATGTTTGTGTTAACTGTACAGGTTCACTCTAAGTCCTGTCCAACTGAATATTTGTCAGCATAATTGAAAAAAAGCTTTCATTAAATTAATTTATAACATATATTCATATATTTAATTTTATGTTTTCACTCTGCATATAAAATAACATGATTGGTTTACTAGCACAATTGTGTGTCTATTCATCCTTTTAACCTAAAACTGCCTACATTAAATAAAATTCATCTGCTTAATCTAGGGATGGTGGTCATATCAAACAAATATGGCATTAATTTGTCATGACTGAACAACACAGAAAAGCTAAGGCATGATAGTAATCAGAGAAAGTATTAATTAGAAGTATCTTCCAATGTTATTTCTATTAGACAACAAGAAAGATGATTCAGCAAGTACCTATGAAGATCTTAATAATTTGACTTTCTAACGCAGTCATTTTGAAGGCTGATATTTTCATGCCAGGTTCAAAATAAGAAAATATTGTTACAGGAACCTATAAAGTGGGGATGCTGTGACTGCATACAGAGCTGCAGTATTCCTGGCTTGTGCATGAGCGTACAGAGAGAAGGGGAGTCTTTGCCTGACAATGCTCCTTTACAAGAGCCGGGGACAATCGGAGTTTCTCAAAATACAACCATGTGCCTCATGCTGGTATGAGAAAAACATGCTATGCCAGCTTAAAGGATGCAAGATGCAAATACCACTGGTGTGCCAAGCAGCTGTGTGAGAGATTGGGCTTCTACTAAATTTTACACAAACTGACACCTACAGACACCAAGCATTTCAATATGATCTGGACAAGAACATTGATTTAGGGCACTGAATCATGCTCTTGTCATACACTGTCTTTATAAGTATTTATACCTTCAGCAATTATTTTATTTGCCTCTTCAGTGCTATCATTACTTTGTTTTGCCTGTACTTTATCAATGTCAGAAGAATGGCCTACAATATTTTTTACTCCATTTTCTTCTTGTTCAGAAATGCTATCATTTTTAATGTAGCTTGCATAATATTCATCTTCTCTCTGACTAGTCTGTATTCTGATGACCTCAGAGTGTGCTTCACCATTCTGTCATAAAAAGAAACAATATTAACATATTAGTGGGAGATAATGTATATGGGTTTCCTATTGTAGTTTAACATACATTTAAGATAGAAGTCTTGAATCATTTTTTGCTGTTCTGACGTAGAACAGTAATCATTCCTTGGAATTATAAAATTACAGTGGTGTAAGTGAGAAAAAAGCAGATTTACAAGCCAGATGCAGCAGAAAACGTCATTAAATTATTAGGTATTCCAAAAGGGCAACTTCATCTGAAATAAAATCTAACAGATTTTTAAAGGAAAAAGGATGTGAATCAGATTTACTGATTTGGTCATTCATAGGAAGTTAGGCTTCATCAGGCAGTCTTTATGACCTGCTCAATAATTAGCGACAGCTGAGAAAGAAGAGAATAACAAGTGCAGAATGAAGACAAGAAATAAATGATATTATGCATATACACTCAAAGATATACCCCTACATACATAGACATCTAGTATTTTTCCCTTCACAAAAACATTTTTTGTCTCTTTTCGTCCCTGAAATATTGACAGGCATTTCTGTTTAAATTTTTTTCCTACAGGCTAGAGCAACATCACCCTATGTCCATTCAACCCAACTCTGTTGATTTTTTTTTCTCTTGGGATCTGTTGCTTGTTTCTCCTTCTCTGAAGTCTCTTCTCATTTTTCATCATATTGTCTGATGTCCCACCCTCTCTGCTCCCAGTTTATTGCTTCTGTTCTTCCCTTTCTCTGTATTACCAACCTCAAGCATTCAAAATACACGAGAATGACTTAAAAGCATAAACTTTTTTTAAATGTACATTTATGTTCTTTGTATTTGCTCTCTGGCCCTGAGAGTTTAGGATATACTTTATATTTTCAAGCTTTTCTCTGGAACCAGAAAGGCTAGAAATTTACTTTTTTATGACAGCTGATTTTTCAGCAACTGAGGCTTTAAATAAAAACACCAAGGGCACATCCAGACAACTGCAGATGTGCAGTATGTGGCACCTCAGACCCATCTGCAATGCCACATACTACACATGAAGGCATTCCCCACACTGCTACTTTGCAGTGGGGGGAGGAAGGGTTAACCCCGGGAGACCCTGGGGTCAAAAACACCCATGCCAAAAGGGGTAGCACACATGACTGCAGCATATGCCACCCAAAACTGGAGCCCAGCCAGCCAGAGCCACACTCTGGCTGCTGGCCAGGCTTCCTGCTGGCGGTGTAGCTCCCTGAGGCCCCCAGGACCTGAGGCCAGCACAGTTGCTGGCCTCAGCCTCCTCTACCCCACCCAGGGTAACCTGCCACGTGCCAAAGCACATGTGGCATGGGCATTCCTCAGGGACAAGTAGCACTGTGCCACTGCTACTTGTCCCTGGAGAAACAAATATCTGCACTCATCTGGATGTGCCCCAAATCTCCTATGGTTTGCATATCAACTGTGCAAGGCAGTAACACATTCATATTACTCCCTCCTACTGCTTCAGTCCATTGGGCTGGGTCTGTGAAATGAGTTTGTACAAGGAATATTACTATAGCAAGTTGGCATAGGCTTGGAGGGAAAGGACTTGGGCATTTATACATTTGAAGCATTTCAAATTCCACTCCAGTTAAGAGAACTTGAAATTTAGACTGCTTCAGGCTATGAACAGGGGATGCAAAAAGGGGTTGCTCAGTCCTATGATTCTACTTTCCCCAACGTGAGGGCTCTCCTGTGCAGTCTCCCAGTTTTGGAGATGGAGAGATATGCAAGATTGCTGAAGATGGCTATGTGCCCTGCTACCAGAACCAGGAGACTGGAAGCTCATCCCACCTCTCCCCTCCCTACCAGTCCAAGAGACCCTGTGTCCCCTAGCTGGAAACAGGAAATCAGAGGCGGAGAGGCATGAAGAAATCCCTGCTTTCTAACCCTGGGAAAGGTTGAATACAAAGGAGAGTGCTCATTGTCTGTCTGCCCTGCTCTCCCTTCCTCCTCCTGTGGGACACAGAGCCTTGTGGGATGCAAGACAACTGAGAAACCTGTTATTCTCTGTAGAGCACAGATGTAACTGGAAGTGCTTCAGAATGAAATGCTTTCAACTAATTGCTGGTTTCCTCCAGGGTTATTTTTGGAGCACTTGGCCATTTTTGTAGCACTCCATTGGAGGTATACATCTGTTCACGCCTCTTTTAAGTGCTTCAAAGGCATATGGAGTGCTTCAAATGGTACGTCTGTCCAGGGCCAGAGTATGTGAATCAGTAAGATAAAGCCTCTTAGAGAGAGAATATTATACAAGAAGTAATTTACATACCTCAGTCCTGTTTTTACTGTGTTTTGCTTACTTAATTAATTGAAGTACTTCATAAGATACAGAAGCACAAATTTTCAAGTGTGGCCTCCAGTCTTGAAGGACCTAATCTCAGACCTATTTTTTAAAGGTACTCAGTGGGGCTACCTCTCCCATTAATTTCAAATTAATACTCAGTTCTTCTAAAGATAAGACTCCAAATATGTAAACTTAAGTGATCAAAAATTGACAACAATCTGCAGCTAATATACACACAGTAGGTACATCTACACATGTGCTTAACTGAAAATAGACTAATTAGTAGGGCTGTGCAAAGCTTCGATCACTGATTTGATTCAGAGGAGATTTGGCCCCATTTGGCGGCTGAATCTCTGAATCAGAAGTGAATCAGGAGACCCATTAATCTCTCCGAATCAAATTGGAAGCCTCCGAATCGATTTGGAGAGGTTCAGAGACATTCGGTGATTCAGCCATAGACACAGCTTTATGTTTTTTCTGTGTTCCGTGAAATACCAGGCGTGGTTCATGAATGCTGCAATGGTGGGGCAGATGGAACATGCCATGGGAGCACAAGGGAGGTCCCCCATGTGCTTGGTGGTGGACCCAGAAGGGGACCAGAAGTAGTTCTGGTCCCCTTCTGGGTCCGTTGCAGAGCATGTAGGCCCCCCCACCCCCCCAAGCTCGGCGACTGGTGCCTCCCGGGTCTGGGGGGGGCACCTGGGGTCCCCCTGTGGCTGATCGCTGAGCCAGGGAGGTGCAGGGAGGGTCCCCCGCATGCTCGGTGACAGACCCAGAAGTGGATTGGAAGTACTCTATCCACTCCATCTGCCCCACCATTTCTGTTCACAAGCCATGCCTAGTACGTCAAGGTACAAAGAAAAAACATAGAAAGCTGTGTCTGTAGCCAAATCGCTGATTCTCCGACTCAGGATCGAATCTTCAGATTCGGCTGAATTGAATTGGGACAGTGATCCGAATCAGCTAATCAAATCACTGTCCCCCTAATTGGGCCGAATCCAAATCAAATACTGCCCTCTTAAAAGTTAAATTAGTAGTGGAGTAAAGTATCACTGTCTATACCTGCTACACTATCATGCCACAGCAAATTAATTTATGCCATTGTCAGATAGTACTGTCAGGGACAGTACTACTTTACAGTGGAGTAATTAACTGCAGTTAAACACAAGTGTAGACACTGACCAGAGGTGTAAATTGAACCTAGTTAGTCCTGGTAGCAGGGTGCCAGACTAGCCACTTTTGGCACCCTCATGCCCCAGCCAGCCCCTCCACTGCCTGATGCCACTGACCCCCCATACTCTCTGCCAGCCTAGCCCTGGCATAAACTGCTCTGCCCTGGCTCAAATTGCTGCTGTCCCGGGTGCATGTGTAGTCACTGTGCCTGGGAGTAGTTTACTCTGGCTCCGACTGCTCCAGAGTTGATTACTTCACATTAACTGCACATGTAGATACAGCCAATACGTATATGCAGGGATCACAACGATGTGTAGTCATTCATAATGTGATATGTGGCAGTTATTTAACATGCGTAGCTACACACAAAACAGAGTAAACCAGAGGAGAAACATACCATTAAAATAGGGAGGAAGTTAAGATAAATAACATGTAATTACTCAGTCGTGCAATAGTTTATGCATATGCTTAGCTTTATGTCCTCTGAGAAATTCAGAGTTCAACTGGACTATATACAGGGTGTAAAGTTAAGCATGTGCAGATGTCTTTAGAGGAGTGGGGCCTGAGTCAAGACCTTCAAGATTACATCTTTTAAAGTAATTTTAAGGCATCTCTTACAAAAATGATTTCTCATATCACATAGGCCACTAACACAGATAAGAAAGCCACTTATTGAATCACCAACGTTTGTGACTAGCTCCTGTGACTTTCTTGGCATTTAACCACTGAAGATTTGACTAACCTTCCTTAATTTTTGCTATCTGATTATCTTACAGCTTAAACTTTTATGGCAGTAGGCCATCAGATACTGTAAGACAAGGCCAACATGTGGCATTGATGCCACAAGCTGGTGCAGGCAGGTTCTTGGTATGGCATGTAGCAGATTGGTAAGGGGTCAGGCAGCACAGTGGCAGATAAGGCAGGAAGCAGAAAGTAAAGTAGCAAATTGGGCAGGAAGCACAGGGAAGGAAACATAAACCAGAGCAGCAAATCAGACAGAGGGTGGGGATTGGAGTGGCACTTGATGACTATGCAGAACTAATTTGTAACACACTTGGCAAAAATTACCCCCATCCCACTGCTATATCTATTTAGAAAAAATTCCAAGAATTTTGGCATTTATAAATACATACTTTAAACATCTATACTTTCAAAGAGCTCTTACATAAAGCATAGGGACATATTAATATAGATCATCATAATACAGGTTTTAGTGGATGATTAATAATATGCCCTAACTGTACAATTGAAACATCTTTATTTCACTCAAATAAACAATAATTTTTGGAGCCACAGGACTCTTATAAACATTAATGGAACTCATGCAACAGTATCCCCATGTAATACACTGAATAACATTGCCTCTCTCAAGTTTAAATCAGTTAGGTGTGGCAGGATGCTTAGGGCACCTGCCACTTTAAGAGCTGAAGCAGCCTGCACAGCATCCTGCAGGTGCAGGCGAGGACTGAGCGTGGAGTCAGCTGACCCAGGGTGCCTGCAAGTGGTGCTAGGGCTAAGTGGTGGAGTCATCTGACTGGAGGAGGGCTGAGCTTAGTTTAAGCCGCATTTAGTTAGAACAGCCTTTAAGGATCACCTACCTCTTTTCTTCTATGGCAGAAGGTCAAGAAGCAAGTGCCATAAAGCTGAACTTATGCCATTTATGGATTCTCCTAAGCCAGTGATGCTCAACCTTTTGGCCCTGCAGGCCAGACGACTGGTGTAGGACCAGTTCACAGGCCAGATCTAGCATGTGGGGTAGGTGTGTAGGGTTGGTCCACATGTGTGATCTAGCATGATGGCCCAGCCACACACGCTGGCCTGATACCATCCTGATTTCACACATCAGATATGGCCACTCACCAGCTCAGCTCTGCTTGCTGGATCCAGCTGTGTGCTGGCTTGACCCAGGTGACAGAGTTGGCCATGTGCCAGCCTGACCCCATGTGCTGGCCCCACTGCATGCTGGTGCAATCTAGTGCACAGGGCCACATCATCCAGCATACAGGGCTCCCCACGGGTCTGGAATTTGGCATCAGGGGAGCTACAGTTAACATTCCAATTACTTTACCCCCCAACTACCAAATTTTCACACCTGTGGGGAGACCCAGAGATTCGTGGGCTGGATCTGACCCAGTCTGGAGGTTGAGCACACTTATCATAAGCAAATAGGAGTTTTTCACCCCATTTTTACTCACCTGAAATAGTGGAAAGATAGAGTAGAAGATAGAATCTGGTCCAGTGTCTGTTCTACTCTTGTTGTTATTCTTCTATTTTCTGCAGTCATTTATTAACACATTCAGAATTTTAAGCCTTAGATGATTTGTTTAAGACATTGGATAAAAGATTGTTTATATTGGGCTTCCCTTGTTTTAATGCAGATACCAAATTTTTCGGTCATCCTACATTATAGAGACTGAAATCAGTTTCTCTGTAAAGGATCTGCTTCTACAATTCCACCAAGCCTATGTACAGATGAATGTTTCACAGAAGTAAATTCTGTCTTCAACAAATTCTATCTAACACAACCAAGTGCCAAGTTTATAATCTTATCTAAACTTAGTGAGGGAATGAATAACCAAATCTCAAGATTTTCTAGCCTCAGAAAGGAGAAACCTACTGTAGGTAGATTTTAGAATTTTACTGGATCACTATGTTGAAGATCTTGGCTTTACAAAATGGAAGTTTCATGAAGGTCATAACAAGGTTTAGAATAAATGCCAAAGACTAGACAGACAGACAGATGAAATATGTAAATTTGTAACTATTCATACACACTTCATTTTTACCTGCAGGTTTTCCTCTTGCCCAGCATGTTGATCTGTCTGAGGAGAATGGCAGTCTTGGAGATGTGTGAAAGCTCCTTTAAGTGACAGCAACTCATTTTTTATAGTATTTACCTCCCTTGTCATGTTTTCCTCCTGCAAGTATTGAACAGAAGAAGTGATCACACCATTTGTTGCATCTGGAAACTTGAAAAATAATATTTTTATAGCATGAATCTTCAAACTACAGAATCAAAGAGGAGAAACAAAAAGGCAAAAATAAAACTCATCAATTACTGGCATAAACTGTCTTAAATATGAACTATATCTTCAGAGAAACATGACAACACAGAAGAAGGAAAAGGGAAACGAGAAGACTGAGAAATGGAGCTCATTGCATGAAAATGAGTGGGACCCTTCTGGTCCAACTCATTGCAGATTGTATTTATCTGACTCTTTTTTTTTTTTTTTTAATTTCTGGTTGACAACCAGAAAATAATATTTGTATGTCTCTAATGACTTTTTGTTTGAGCATTCATGCCTGATACTAAGCCACTTGCTGAAAAGATTACATTTGAAAATTAATCTCTCAATTTATAAAATATGAAAGAGAATAAAATAATGGCTCCCATCAAAGGAAAGTATACCGTGGGTATATCTACACTGCATTCTAGCTCACATGTGTGTGGGTCCTGACCAGGAAATTCTGCCTCCAAAAGTCCACACTTCAGGAAACAATATGCATTAAACTGTAGGCATGAACTGACTCTGCAGCTACACATTTGGCACAAAGAGTTCTGGAAGTATATCCCAGGATTCATAGCATTTCACCAACTGGATCTACTCTAGGAATTAGTTTGCAGTGTACTGCAAAGAACTGATGTGTACTCCCCCCTGCCCCCTCCCCACAGAAGCAATTTTAGCCCACCAATACATTTCATTTGAGATTGCATCTGAAGTAGTTTGTTGCCTATGAAAGCTCATGCTTTTCTGAACTAGCTAGTATCTAAGGCCTTTGCCACATTACATATATTATGCAATTAACTGATTAATTGCATAATAAATGTAGACCAGCCACATATGCAAAGTAATTATCACGCCATAAAAATATCTAGCTAGCTATAAAGACACCCAACCAGCTCCAAAATTAGTGCTTGAAAATGTATAACAACTCTATAGTTGGTTTCTATCCAGCTTTGGTTTGAATGTGTACCCCCTCCCTGCAATTTTTGCCTGACTTGAGAGTAACTTCCTCTGTGCTCCTGGATTTCATTCTCAGTTTAACTGATATATTTTTTACAGCTGTAAACAATCTATTATGGGAACAATCTATTAAAAGTCACCACTTAACAGTAGTAGAAAAATTCTAGCCGTACAGACACAGGAGACAAAGAAACCATCTATTACAGTTGGGTGAATGAAGGGACACATATTTTTTCCTTGTCGTACATACATTGTCCTCCAGCCTAAAAAGATAATCTTGGCTAATAGCAGATAGAACGGACAAAAAAAGGAGAGGACCTATCTTCAGTGGACACTTGAAGGAATTTCTAGCTAATGTCACCCTTAAAGAAAGGAAGCTGTAGGTGAAAGCATGGTCCTTCATCATATATGGTGAATCAGATGTAAATTACATAGCAGGTTCACCAGAATATTGCATCTGAAACCACAGATCTACATGATACTGCATCCCCCAATCCCTGTCCCTTCTAGGAGCTAACCCCATCCCACCAAAATCATATGCCTTGTATAATGTATTATTTGGCAGTCCATTCAATTTGTATTCTGCTAACACTTTCTATTATATAATTACTTGATGAATAATTTTTGTCATTTTATAACCTAAGCTCAAATGAACATACTTTGGCCTATCTTAAGAAAGATAAAGAGGATAATATTGAATGGGCATCAGAGGTTAATCTACCTCTGCACACAGCAGAAGTCCAGCTGCACATGATCTTAACATTATCAATGAGACTGGAATATTACAAGGAATTAAATGAAATAAAGTCAAATTGGATTGGCTACAGTAGAAACACAAGTTAAGAATAAATATTTACCAAATAGATCAAACTGGGAATGAAGTTATAAATAAATATCATTTGCAATTATGTAGAAGATTATTACAAACATTTCAGTGAAACAAACAGAGCTAATTCATATTTGACACGTAAAGCGAGAGTAAAGGGCTTTGTACTGGAGTTATTTTGAACAATTAGGGAGATGTCAGCTTCCCTCCTTAAACCACTGAGCATCACCGGAGCTGCTTTAGAGCTTCAGGTTAGAGTACTCTTTCCAGCACTTATATTCAAAGAGTCAAGTCAAGAGAGAAGGCAGAAATATAGACAGCTCTGTACAAGCCCCTCACAGCCTTCTCTGCCATATTTCCATTGCCTTTCAGGAAAGCAGATTAGAAATGAAAATTTTAAAAAATGTGACAGCTTTTCTGGTTTCCACTATTTTCTGAAAACTTTAAAATGTTAATTTTCTTACCAAAATGTTTCCTTTCCTTACTTGTGAACAATGGTTTATTATTGTAGTTCATTTGTCACTGTAATTCTACCTCAAAGCTGCTGAGTACGATATTTGATTTTACAAATCACTGAAATATTTTGTAGTAGTAGTATGAAAAACAAATATTGAAGATAGGTCAGTGTTTTGGGCCCATTAAACTTGACAAAATGTCTTACATTTTTGTAACTTTAATGTACATGAGCTTATACTAGAGTTTTATAGTTTAATTTCTGGCAGTTTACTAATGATTTTTTACAGTCCAGGAATATAATCTAGGAAAATGCCAGCAATGGTTGACAAACGTATTAATTCTGGAACACTATCCAAATACTATATTAAAAACAAACAAATAAACCTTCCATTTGGCTCATGTGATAAAGGCCCAAAAGCGCACATTGCTCGCCTTCTAAAGTCCAGAAGCCAAATGGAGTTTATATTAAATCTAGATTTTAAAAATATTTATTTCTAGAAAATTTTGCATTGCCAGGAAATTAATGATATTTGACTTTATACCTACTTTATTTTTGCAATATTTTCTTGGCTTTTAGGGATTATTTGATAACTATTTAAAAAACCTCTTAATATTCTAACATTTAATTTAATAAACCTACATCTTTTTTCCAAGTTCTTACTGCTTCCTCATGCTCATTCTGAAGATTAAGGAACTTTTCTTCATTTTCTTTTGCCTTCTCCCTTTGCAGCTCATTATCTCTTTCAAGGGTCTGCAATAAAATTAATTATCCAAAAAATAATCAATACCACATTAATGAATTTTGATGTGTTTTATGTTGCTGAGACCTTTGCTTCTAACATGCTGAAAGTGCCATACAGATCAGTGATAATGTGCTATCTCGACAATAATTTTCATAAATTAACAGAAAGGTGCTTATAGTTTAGCTAACAGGAAACAGGGGGAGGTTATGAAAAAGAAATGGCTATAAAAGGGTATAAAAACACTTGCCATTATTCAGTTTCACTGCATAAGTTTTAATGTGCTGAAGAAGTAATATAAAGTGCAGAGATGAGAAATATGTAATGTAGCACAATCTAGCCCCACTGAACTTAAAGAAAAAAACTACAGAATAGCCAAAGAAAAATCTTCTTATCAGTATGAATAACCTTTCCTGTAATTTGTACTTTTGATTGTAAACTGAGATTCCAGCATATCTACTGAAATGTAAAAAAAAAATAGTGTATGTTTGATTGCCCTTTATTTTTACTAGTTAACTGAAACTGAATAAAAGTGTATTAAAATAATAGCAATATGCTGCACAGCTTTTATGCTATCATAACTGTGTTTCTAGCATTTCTGGGCTAACTCAGTGTCAGCTTTACTATCATTTTGATAAATTAAAACAAGCTTGTGTAAATACACCATATCAGTTCTCAAACATCTCTCAGGTACCACTGGAATTTTTACCCTATCCAATTTTTATAACACACAGTTAAAAGGATAAAAGATTTAGCACATCCATTACCCATGGTAAACATGATACATACACACTTGAAAATATAAATGCAGTTTTAATGCATTCAAACTTATTTATATGATTTTGTTTCAATTCTCTGGAAGCACTTCTAAAATATACCAGATATAAAAACATTCTTTCAAAGGAATTCTTCTCTGCTTTACCTTTTAAATACAAAAATATTAAATTGTTTCTGATTTACTTCACAACAAGGTTAACGTGCTTATAATCAGACTAATTATGATAGCATTTAGAATAATAATACAAAATATAACATATAAAAAATTAGAGTACTTCCATGCTTCAAAGTTTTTAAAAACAGGTTACACAAACACTTGTCTGGAATGGTCTAGACAAGAATGACTCTGTCTTGAACATGGGTATTGGACTAGATGACCTCCTGAGGTCCCTTCCAGGCTTATTTTTGCGTACTTGGAGAATTTACTTCATAAGCTGTTAGCAAAAATACATTAATTTGTCATTGAATTAAACAATAAGACAATATATTTTCTGAATAAGAGCACTAATAAAATACAGTTATATAGTAACTGTCATTCCACAGGGCTTCACAAACTATAAGCTTGATCCAATACCAATTAATTTCAATAGGCAATAGATCAGGCTTTATATTCTCTGGGATCTATACACCCACAGATAAAAAGCAACCTCCTCTGAAGTAGATTGTAACAGTTACTTAGAGCACAGTTTCTAGGAAAAAAATAAATGCAGAATGAAATATTTGGTATACAAAATGTGTGGTAATTATTCAAACTGGAATTTAGCTAGGACTGATCTGAAACACCTAAGTTTTCCTTGAAGATCTCCATTCCCAGTATAAACTTATGCAGACCCTACTTAGCAAATGAGATCAATGTTTGATGTGGCTATTGTTGTGTAATGGCCTTATTAATAATAAATCACAGAAGTAGATATACTGTAAAATACATTATCAAAAGTAATTTATTGCAATTATAAAATGTTATTATTAACAGTATGAAGGACATCAAAATATTGCCAGCACCAAGCTCTACAGTTGCAGATATCAAGCACATCTCCCTTTACCTGATGCCCCTTAGTAAAGTGAGAAGCCTAAATATCACCAAAAAAAATCTTTTTTCTTCTCCTTCTCCTTTGCAAAACATATGGCACTGTCACCTTGATGTCATTATTCTCTCCTTGAAATAAGAATTTTAGTCCTCAGATCTTGGATAATGTTTACTAAGGTAAAAAAAGTAAAGCTGTATCTGTGATTAGAGACGAATAAATCAAAGTCTAATATTTCTTACTATAAATATATTAAGTAATCTTTCTTATGGTGTCTAGTACTACCCACTGAATGACATTTATAGTCTTTATATTCTTATTAATTTGCTGTTTTACAAAAATCAGTTCTTTAGAATAAGAAATAGGCCAGCATTCTGCCAAATCTTGTATGAAAGGGTTACTTATGTTACAGTAATCATGGTTCTTCAAGGTGCGCTATCCACTTACATTCCTCTGACTTGCATGTAGTGACCTAGATCCAAGAAAGTAGAAGCCCAGTCTACCTAAACAATGCTTTATAAGACAACTCTGCTCAGATGAGCATGAGATAGACTACTGAACCGTGGCCGTGTCTGAGATACTGACTGCGCAGTAGCCCATGACTACAGGTTTCCCTCGCTTTATGCAGGCTCTGTATGTGCGAATTTGCTCTTATGCGATAACTCTTTTTATACCCAAAATTTATTATATGCAAGGTAAATTCAGTCTTATGCGATCAACATAGGCACACACTTCCCCCAACCCAAGCAGGTAAGTCTGTGGGGGAAGGGGTGGGGGGAGGGGAAAGGGTCATGAGGGGAGTGGGGAAACAAGGTCCCAGTGATGAAGAAGGGAGCAGAGCACGGGCAGGAGCAGTGACCAGGGTGAGTGAGGCCCCAGCCAGGCCAGGTGGTAAGACAAGCAGAGGCCCAGGGGGCGTGCGCCCCCCCAGCGATTTGTGCACAGGGTGGAGGCGGCATGCTGCTACATGCTGCACTTGGAGCTCCACTGCCCCAAGAGCCATTCCTGGGGCAGCTGCAGCAGGGAGCAGCAGTAGCCGCCTCCACCCCCATGCACAAATCGGGGGGGCACATGCCCTATGGGCCTCTGCTTGTCCCACTACCCAGCCCAGCTCAGGGCTTACTCAGCCTGGCCCCTGCTCCTACCTGTTCCCCGCTCCACCCCTCACTGCTGGGGTCTCGGCCACTCAGCCCAGCCCACATGCAGATCCGGGGGCACGCGCCCTCCATGCCTTCCCAGGGTGTGCATAGCAGCAGGAGCTGCATCCCCCGTCCTGCGCCCCACCCCAGCTCCAGCCCCAGCCCCACTCCCTCCCTCACTGCCATGGGTACAGTGAAGGCTTGGAACATATCCTTATTAGTTACATTGTAGAGTGGATTCCCTCTATGCAAATTCAAGTTATGCTCAGTTTTCCAGGAACGCATGTACCACATAAAGTGAGGGAAACCTGTACTGCGCAGTAGCATTGTGTGGCAGAAAGCATGATGTGACACTACTGCACAGAAGTCTTGGAATACTGTGCCAAGACTTGGATAGAGAAGGCAGAAAAGGGGGGGGGTGGCACTCTATGTCAAGGAGCACTACACATCCTCTGCCAGCAGAATGGGGTCAGGGGACAGGGAATTTTCAGGCCAGCTTGCGGAGACACTAAAAGCAAGGGATGTAGTTGTCATGGGCGATTTTAATTACCCGGACATCTGCTGGGAGGAGCAGTCAGCCGGGACGGACCGCTCCAGGAGGTTCTTGGCCGAGTTGCAGGACCTCCACTTGATTCAGGAGGTGCACAGTCCCACCAGAGGAGATGCTCTGCTGGACCTGGTCCTGGCCGCAGGCGACGACCTGGTAAGAGGCCTCCAGGTTCTTGACCACCTGGGCAATAGTGATCATCGCGTGCTGGAATTCACCATCCAGCGTAGAGTGTCAAGGGCCCGCAGCAAGGTGGTGGCCCTAGACTTCAGGAGGGCCAACTTCAGTGAGATGAGGAGATTAGTGGGAGAGGAACTGGGGTCCTTGAGGGCAGAGGAACTCAGCGTCCAAGAGGAGTGGTCGTTCCTTAAGGAAACGATACTCGGGGCCCAAGGGGTGTCCATCCCGACAAGAAGCAAGGCGGGCAGGAGTGTCCAAAAGCCCCCCTGGCTCACCAAGGGTGTCCGGGAATGCCTGCTTGCCAAAAGGGTGGCGTACGCCCGGTGGAAGGGGGGTGTAATCTCCAAAGAGGAGTATACCTCCTCTGCTCGGGCCTGCAGGCGGGCTGTTAGGAAGGCCAAGGCGGAGATAGAGCTCGGATTAGCGTCCAGGATTAAGGATAACAAAAAGTCCTTTTTCAAATATATTGGGAGGATGAAGAAGGCGCCGGGTAATGTGGGGCCCCTGCAGGATATGCGGGGCAATCTGGTGGTTGCGTCAGAGGATAAAGCGGACCTCTTTAACCAATTCTTCACCTCCGTTTTCTTGTGCAGGGACCGGGACTTCCCTGCTGTGATAGAAGCCGGACGCGAGGGGATCGCCTTCAGACCTCAGGTTGGGGAGGACCGGGTTAGAGAGCTTCTGGAGGGGCTGGACGCGTTCAAGTCAGCGGGTCCGGATGCTCTCCACCCCAGGGTGCTGAGGGAGCTGGCTGGGGTTATTGCAGGGCCCCTGGCACGGCTCTACGAGCGATCGTGGTGCTTGGGCCAGGTGCCAGACGATTGGAAGGTAGCTAATGTGGTCCCCATCTTCAAAAAAGGGAAAAGGGAGGACCCGGGCAATTATAGGCCCGTCAGTCTTACCTCAATCCTGGGGAAGCTCTTTGAGAAGATCATCAAGGAGCACATTTGTGATGGGCCGGCATCAGAAATGATGCTCAGGGGCAATCAGCATGGATTTATTAGGGGGAGATCATGTCAGACCAACCTGATTGCCTTTTATGATCAGGTCACAAAGGCCATGGACGCAGGTGTCGCGGTGGATGTAGTCTTTCTGGACTTCAGCAAGGCCTTTGACACCGTCTCTCACCCCATCCTAATTAATAAACTAGGCGACTGTGGCATAGATGCCTACACGGTCAGATGGATTGCAGATTGGCTGAAGGGTCGCACTCAGAGGGTGGTGGTGGATGGATCATACTCGACTTGGGGGGAGGTGGGTAGTGGAGTCCCCCAGGGCTCGGTCCTGGGGCCTGCGCTGTTCAATTTCTTCATCAGCGATCTTGATGCTGGGGTGGAAAGCAA